ATTCTCTTCTTCCTTCTGAGACTAACTCCAGGCGCAGCCACCACAGAGTGGGCAGGGCAATACGTGTTGAATGGGGGCGGTAGTCCGTGGAAGTGAGTTGGCTGTAATCTTCTGGGGGTGCCAAGAATATCCTGTTTCAGGTCCATAGCAACTCAGCAAGGGCTTCATCGCAGGCCTGACCGGAGAGCCCTGTTGTGCATGGTGCTTCCGTGTTTCAGTCTTTGCTGTGGAAGGATAAGAGCTACACAGGGCCCATGTGTCACGTCTCTTTGGACCAAAAGAAGGACAGTGGTGGACCCGGCCTTCCAGGGAGCCCAGCTGAGCACAGAGATCATTCTTCCAGTGACAAGCGAGTGACCCCGTTCTTCTCTTCTCCTACCTCACCTAGGAAATTTACTCTCTCTCTCCCCTCTCACTGCGTTTCCCCTGTTTTCTGCTTGCAGCCTCTCTCCAGTTCTTCCTGAGCCAATCAACCAGCACAGGTAAGTTCATTCCTGTCCTCTCTTGAATACTACTAGTTGGAGCAGTCTTCCAGGAAGGTGCAACTCTAGACAGGAAAGGATAGAGAGGAACCTGACCGTCGGTATAATATTGGGTTGAATTGTTTTTTTAAAAAAGTGTTTTGAACAGCTTTAGAATAAGGAGATCTAATGTGAATACTTGCCTTGTTTGGTCAAGGAATACTCTAGGCTCTCTAAAGACCTGAGGGATGTGTGAGGGGGTGAGCCACTGGATTTGCTCAGCTCAGCTCAGCTCAGCTCAGCTCCCCAGACTGCAGCCCCCTTTCTCTCTGCCCTGTGTCCCACTCACGCTGAGGCATCTGGCAAAAAGCAAGCACAACTCTTGTGCGTTGCATTACAGATGTGCAGAAATAACTACAAGGCCAGCTTGTGCACACACCGCCCACAGGCCCACAGTGAGCGTCCAGTTCTGTTTTTGCACGCACGGCTGTTTCCAACCTAAATCTTCAATCGCAATGAAATTAAATGGGAAAAAATAATCACAGCTCACAGAAACAAAAGCTATTTTGATGGAACTGTTGTGTCTTGATCTGAATCAAGACCACGTTGTGTGTGTGTGTGTGTGTGTGTGTGTGCGCACGCGCGCGCAAAGGGTTAAAGGCCTCTTATATGCCCCTGACCCTGAAGTCCTGAGCTGGATTGGCTTTCCCAGTTGTGGGAAGGGGGGACCTTGGTATTACATGGCAGAATTAAGCTGGTAAAAGTTACTGGGAACCAGGCTGGCATGATGAATTGAGGGTTGGACTGAGGAGATCTGGGTTCTAGTCCCCACTTAGTCATGAATATCACTGACTAACGTAGGGCCACTCACTGACTCTCAGTTTTACCTACCTCACAGGGCTGTTGTGAGGATAAAATGGAGGGGCAGAGGATCTGTAAGATGCTTTGAAGAAAAAAAGCTGGAATAGAAAGAGTAACCATAGAAAATACGCAGTTTGGCTCTAAGTCTTCAAACGTCCATATTTATTTGGACACTGCTTAAATATAAGCTGTCCTGAGATGATTGTCGTAAAGGACAGCATATAAATGTTTTAAATAAAATAAATATAATAAAATCCTCAAGCAGTCCTCACAAACATTAAAATTACATTTAAAATTCAATTGCATTTAAATTGCAACAATACATGATCAATGCAGTGTGATTAATTTCCTCATAAACCAGGAAAAGCCTGAGTGACAGACACGTCAAGGGCATTTTCAGGAGCTATTTGAAACGTGCCTCTTTTACTGCCCCTTCTAAACAGCACAGGGAAACATTTTCCAAAGGTTGCTACTGAGAAGCTCACAGGAGAGGTGTTGTGTGGTGACTTGTAAGGTCCTAGAAACGTCAGCCATTTTTTAAATGCAGTTAATAATTGCAAGGGTTCTGTTGATTGATTAATCAAGTCCACATCAATTTGTATCCGTGAAAAAGCTTGAATAACTCATGCTGTACTTCTTGCAAGGAAGCAACTACCGCAAATTGCTTTAAAAATAGCACGGTTTTAATCTGAGGGTTGGTTAATCAGGAGCATTTTTTCGGACAATCTAAAGGATTATCACACTGCTGAGAGGGTAAATAGACACAGAAATGTATCTGGCATTTTAGACAGAAAAAATTGAACTATTCTGTAGCAACACCCGACGTTCGGGTGAGAAACGTCGTGAAATAAGAAAACGAACAGTCGTCAAGGAACTGAACATCTCCCTCAACCCACCGAACACACTAAAGTTGATTTCGGTAAACTAATTAGCTCTTTCTGTTCACAGGATCCCAGGAAGCAAAACTTAAGCCCAAACCGCCACAAACTTAGAGAGTCCCGCTACTTTTCCGGATTCATAATTCGAATCCTAAGTGGCCGTTCTGATTGGACGAGGAGAACAAGCGAACCAATGAGAGTGAAGCTCCTTCTAACCTATGAGAAATGAGCAGCGCTCTCAGCGACGAAGTCGAGTCATCCAATGACAAGCGACAATTTCTATCGCTTAATTTGCATACAACGCCACCGCACCGACCAATAGGAACGTAGGAATTGGAGGCGCTCATCTGCATGGCGCTGCTATAAATGGGGTGAAGAAGGCAGCGCGCTTCCAGTCTCGGTCTGCTCGCCGTCGGAAGCGGACGTGCCAGGATGCCTGAGCCAGCGAAGTCGACGCCCGCGGCCAAGAAGGGCTC